ACACACGACACGACTACGACACACACACTACGACTACACTACGACACGTACACTACACGACTACACACTACACACTACACACGTACACACTACACACACTACACACACACACACACACACACACACACACACACACACACACACACACACACACACACACACACACACACACACACACACACACACACACACACACACACACACACACAGCCTCCCATCCCCCAACTACCAAACAATCTGGTATCTCAGACAGTCGGACCTACAAAATGCTGCTTTGGTGTGTTCAGGTGCTCCAAAATACAAATTAAAAAGGGAGTGGTGGTGAAGCTAGGCCAAAGAGATAACATAATGATTACTCCACCGAAAAAACTCCCCTTTAATGCACATCGTGCTCTTCAAGTCCATGATTTTAACTACCAACACTACCTTTATCAATGTAAAACCATAATATACTTTAAAAAGAAATACATTCTGTTCAGTATGTGTCTGCAGAGACAGAGCTACCGAATTACTGAGCTAGGCATGTCAGAGAGAGCTACTTGACTTAAGCTGTCAGCCATTTACACATAATGTACTTTTATGAATGTTTCATGGGCTGACCTAATTCCTTTCAGAGCCGAGTAAAAGCAATATGCTGCATACGAAAACACAGCAGCTGATCCTTTAGACGTGAGAAAGAGCCAGACAGATGGAAACAAAGCTGTGATACGGTCACTTCCTGGATGACCTGGTAAACTGAGAATAAAAGCTGTAGACCAACTCAGCTTATTTCTTTCCAGTCGTTTGTTTTCACTAAATCAGCACTGGATCCCAGAGGGGATGGAAACAGCCTCGTGAGAGTTTCATCACAAAAGAGAGAGATACTTTGCTCTCAGATATAATTAAAGCAAACCCTTAAGCCCACGAATGGAGAGCCTGATCGCTGACAGACTTGAATTTCTCAGCAGTGGAAAAAAAAAAAGATGAAGAGGAGGATGAGGAGGAGGAGGAAGAGGAGGAGGCGCGGCAGCAGCTGCAGAAATCTGCTGAAACTGCTGGTTGCTGGATTTGAAAAAGTAAAAATGGAAGCTGCTAATTAGCACCGAACTGATTTTCTAACCCCATGAAATACATGCAATTTGCCGTTATGTATCATAAACAGTGGTGAATATACTCAAGTAGTGCAAGTAAAAACATAGAGATGCTTGTACTTTACTTTACTGGAGTATTTTCACATTACTGTTCTTTATACTTTTTACTCCAATACATTTATTTTACAAATATTTAGGCTATGTATACAAAATATAAATCAGCTAATGCATTTTCACATTTTTATTATAGCTACCCACTAGTACACATGTGTCAAACTCAAGGCCCGGGGGCCAAATCAGGCCCGTGGTGGATTTAATTTCGGCCCGCAGGATAATTTCTAATTACTATTAGATCTGGCCCGCCGGTATATTGCACGCACACCCTCACTCAATCCTGAGGGTCTCCTCAGCTCAGAGCCTGAGCCCAAACATTGATGACCTTGCACCCAAGAGGAGATGCCAAGTATCTGAACTAGCATCACAGAGCAGCACACTGAGCTTAATGGATGTTTCCTTCTGCACTTTTTCTCTCACGACAACAGGGCATGTTTGGTTTTCTCTTTGAGGGAAATAGTTTTGTTGAAGCTGTTGTTGGCCTGTGGGAAAATGTAATCATAAGAAATGACTCTGGAAAAGCTG